ATGGCCTCATCGAATCAGAAAGTCACCTGAACTCTGTCCTTGTTCGCCTGATTCGAGCAGAAATTATCGAGACTGTTCGGCCCGAAAGCTTCCGGAACCCTAAGGACGTCTATCGTGAGATCGAAGACGAAGTCACCAAACCCCGGCCAGGCGAAAAGGTCACCAAAGGAAAGATCGAGGCTCAACGCGAGGTCATCGAACGCTCTAGAACATACAGAGACCAGCCCAAGACTTTGAAGCATCAGCTTGACATGAGCGGAGGTCCCAAGCCAAAGAGACGGAAACTTGTGAATGGAGCGACGCAAAATGGGCATGGATACGACGCTCCAAAATTGAACGTAAGAACGTCCAATTATTCACGAATTGACATCACGACTGACATTCAACAGCCCAATGTGGTGATCAAGATAAATTATGAAAGATGCTTGGTTGAGCTGCGGAACCAGAGACTTGCAGAACTCGCAACAGAAATGCTTGGGGAAGTCACTGGTGAAGTTTACCGCACAGTGCTCGATCTTTTAACTTCGGATTCTCCGAGGTGCCAGTCTGACCCTCTACTCGATGAAGTGACTCCTGGACAACAACCAACTGTGACAACTATCGACATATTTGAGCACCTGGACGAAAATATCAACGTACAAAATGGAATCGGCAAAACTCCACGAGATAAAATTGACTCGCAGAGTGCTGAACGGATCAGGGACACAGCGCCGGAGTCAGATGACGACTCTGACGATTCAGATGCCGGTCCTCCCGGTCGAAGAAAGACGTTTGACGTTGACGATGAAGTTGATGAATGGGCTGACGACAATCATGATGGTGCAGCTAATGGGGAACAAGAAAACAGAGTAAGGTTTGAAGATGCTACGAATGGAAACGATACTCGAATCTCTCAGATGCGCCGTCATCTTCTTCTCCTTGCAGAAAGCAAGTATCCGTTCATCCGTCATTGTGGGATGTACGGCCGTGGGCAATGGACAGTGGACTTTGGCCGCCTTGTATGCAAGCTGCGGGAAATCGAACTGGACGCTATCATTGAACAATCCCACGGTCGCCATGGTCTACGCTTGACCCGCATTCTCCGAGAGAAGGGCAAGCTTGACGAGAAGATGCTTCCAGCCGCCGCGCTCATGAAGAAGGGTGACGTACAAGGCAAAATGCTTGCGATGCAGATGGCAGGTATAGTGGATGTTCAAGAAGTGCCTAAGGATAGCAGCCGACTTGCCAATCGAACGCTCTTCTTCTGGTACTTTGACAAAGAGCGAACCCAAACGCAGGCACTGGATGACATTTACAAGGCTATGCTCCGGTGCCTTCAGACCTTAGAGGTGGAGCGCCATAAGGAACGAAACATTCTTTCGTTTGTTGAGAGGAAGGACGTGCAAGGCAAAGAAGAGGAGGTCATGACCACAGAGCATTACAACAAATACAACAGGCATCTGGGAGTGCAGGACAAGCTTCTCGGTCAAGTCATGAGGTTAGATGAGTTGGTATCTGTGCTTCGTGATTATTGAGGAGTAGAGGGAGACGCCAAGGCATATATGTATTCCTCCTCGCTCAAACCTCGCTTGGAATTGGCCGTTGGCGTGGGGATTAGGTACTGACGTTGGGTAGGGGGTTGGCCTCACCTCATCTCTGCATCCATCTTTTAAACAGCAACTCGCGAAAATACCGCATTATATTGCTCCTTTTTTTTATTACCTGTTCTTCGCGTTTGCTTCGTTTCTTCTTGATCATTTCATTTGTTGTTGGTGAAGGGAGGGACTTGGTGTTGTGGGTGTGATGGCCATCAGCAAGCATGTGTGCACATATGGCCAGACAGATATCGCTAACATGTAGACTGGCCTGTCTACCTAGTACTGTGTATTTTGCTCGTAGGGAAACTTCATTCTTGGTCTTCTAAGGTACGAAGGCTCGTAATTCAAGTTCTTGATCACTTTGCCTCGGCAGTTTCCTTTTTTACTTCGAACTAGGGATTTGAAGCTCGAATATGGAGCTCTCGGCCCCCGGGAATCATAGTATCCGGCTATCATGGCGTTTCTTCCGCAATGAGTTTGAGCCTCGCCAAGTGTTTCTGCTTCATCAGATCAAGACGGTTATAGAGCAAATCGCGGCTATAGGGTACCGTGGTTAGGTACTTGTTAGTGGCTTGTTTAAACCGTGGCTCGTGCTTGGCCGCTATTGAGGGGTCGAGATTGAAGAGTGGAGCCTCTCTCAACATCACACCAGAGAAAAAAATCCAATGGAACCCGTAGACGGATAGCTAAAAGCTCCACGATTCTCCGACGTCGGTACATACAACCGCAAATACGCCAGGGATTTAGCAGGGGCCAGGGATTCCCAGAGGAACTAAAAAGAGATAAGTGCATTGGGCGACAGGAAAAATTTCCCAAGCAGCCAGCTCTTGAGTCTTATACCCGAACTCTTGCTCTTGCGACAAGCTCACGATTCTGTTTTTCAAACTTCGTGAAAACTCCTGGGAACTAGTATCAAAGCAGTGTCTTGATCTGGTTTATATTACTCTATCTCCTCAAGATGTCTCCCCCCGTCGCTGCTGGTCGCGAGAAGGAGTCCGGCCTGGCTCGTGTCCTCGGCTCCGGTACGTTTCACTCCAATTGAAACAGGCGACTATGCTATTGCTTCACGGTTTCCTGCAATCGATATCTCTAGTTCGAGCTGACAACATCTTGACAGGTTCCGCTGGTATTGCTGAGCTGGCTGTCTTCCATCCTGTACGGAACCCCACCTCTTTTGAGCACAACCAGTTGCGACAAATCTTGGAGCTGTTCACTAACCCCTCCACAAGGTCGACACCATTGCGAAGCGGTTGATGAGCAACCAGACTCGTGTAAGCAACCCACGTCTCTTGATGCATGCCATTGGATAAGATATTGACAATTTGGTCTTGTAGATATCCAGCGCCAGCGAGTTGAACAAGGTCATCTTCAAAGACAAGGCCGCCGCTCCCTTCGGACGAAAATTCGTTTCTCTCTTTCCCGGGCTGGGATACGCCGCCGGTTACAAGGTCCTCCAGCGTGTCTACAAGTATGGTGGCCAGCCTGTTGCCCGTGATTACCTCTCCAAGCACTATGGAGCAGACTTTGAGAACGCCTTCGGCAAGAAAACCGGAAAAGCCATCATGCACTCTACTGCTGGAAGGTAGGACATGAAGACCTCTGTTTCCCAAGAAGCTTGAACTAATGCGCCCACAGTCTGATCGGTATTGGTGAGATTGTTCTCCTACCTCTTGACGTCCTCAAGATCAAGCGTCAGACAAACCCCGAGGCTTTCCGTGGCCGCGGCGTCCTCAAGATCGTCGCCGACGAGGGTTTCGGCTTGTACCGTGGCTGGGGCTGGACTGCTGCCCGTAATGCCCCTGGATCTTTCGCTGTATGTGTGACTCCTGCTCCTTGAAATGGTTCGGAAGACTAACTTGGCGTAGCTGTTTGGTGGATCTGCTTTTGCCAAGGAGTATATTTTCCATCTTGAGGATTACAACAAGGCCAGCTGGTTCCAGAACTTTATTGCTTCTATTGCTGGCGCTTCCGCTTCTCTCGTTGTCTCTGCTCCCCTTGACGTTATCAAGACCCGTATTCAGAACCGAAACTTCGACAACCCTGAGAGTGGCTTCCGAATTCTCTCCAATATGGCCAAGAACGAGGGTCCTGGAGCTTTCTTCAAGGGACTTGTCCCCAAGGTACGTTCACCAGCATAGAAAGTGATAGCCGTCTTTCTGCGGCCCGCCAGCTCCCGATCAACTCCCGTCTCCACTCTTGAACATCTAGACGCTAACTCATATCGCCCTGCAGCTGCTCATGACTGGTCCCAAGTTGGTCTTCTCTTTCTGGCTTGCCCAGACTTTGATTCCTGCCTTCGACATTGCATTCAAGAAGTAGATGTGAGATTATGGAATATTTGAATTCATGTTAAAGATAGATATACGAATCTAGATAGGTACTATCTGGACGTCGATGACGAAGAAGGCTTACATGGGAGTTTAGACGGATCAGGTTATTAGGTTTGCTACGATAGATACGCCACTGCGCTGATATGAGAGGATCGGCTTCGCTTGGAAGCCAGGTAATCTGTTAGTGAAGCAGTCGAGAGGCACTCAACTCTGTATAAATAAAGCGATTTGATTTGATACATGCCATCTGTTCGAGTGAGGTCCTATGGGGGACAAGAAAGTGTAAGGCCGAGCTTGATCCTCGGTGACAAAACCATCTAGGTAGGCCAGCCTGAGCTTGAGGTAATATTGAATGATTTCGTTTGGCCACCGTCTTGTAAGATCTGAAAATTTCTTTGCATACCTCATTGAAAGGCCTGATGTGATTGATGGTGTTGGGCTTGCTCACCCTCAACGTCACCTATCTACCAGGGCCTCAGAGCGGTAGGCGCAGCTGCTTTGTTTAGATTTGCTCGATACAGCCGCGAGCAAGGTCATGATCCCTGTTGAATTCCACAATGATGTATTTCATAGGCCCCTCTTTACAGGGCGGTCCAAGGCCCTCAATTCGTGGTGTGATCTGCTCTGTTGTGAGCTCGTGATTTGTCAATGTCAACCAGGGGTGCGGCACAACGACAGCCTAACGTTGAGTTGATTGTCAGTGCGGGAGGTTGCTCGGCAACCAATCGGGCCCGAAACAAAAAATAAACCAGGTTGCGGTTACCGCAACGGACAGCCAAAGATTGAGTTATAGCTTCTCCCAGCGCCATCTGAATTAAACAATGCAACCAACTTTGATGCTCTAACTTCATTCCCTCCAATTCCGTCATCCTCTTGTATCTGATACCCTCTTGAATTGTTTGTTAAACTACCTGCTTCCCTGCTTGTTAGTTGCAACGAATATATTCAGATACTTACACCGCATTCCTCAATCCCCACCGACTTTGTTTATACTCTTGTAAATAGCGTGGCTGCGGCGCCGTCCGCATTCTTGCCATTGAGACCGATACACTTCTCACATACCATTACTTGTTTCCAAGGAACCAGGACAGACATGTCTTCTTCGGAGCGAGACAGCTTTTACGACGGGGACTTTCAGCTGAGACATCAACAGTCGGCTTCTTCAGATCCCAATCTTCGAGCACTTGTTCCAATGTAAGTTTTCTTGTATATGCCCTCATGCGTCTCTTGCGCCGACTAACAGGGAACAGGTGGGACAGCTCTGACCCCGAACGCTGCCCCCCTCCGCTGCCTCTCAATCCGGGGTCGCCATTAACTTCACGGGTGGGAACTTCGAGCGCTATCGCATCTGCTCACGCTGCACTTAATGAGCGAGCGAGAGAGAGCACCATGGTTCCTACCAAGAGAATAGAATCCCCGACAAAAGGACATCGCCGACTGCAGTCTTCAGTCCGTGATATCAGCATGATGATCGAGGGTGCTAGCGGCCATAGCTCACCATCGCGATCACCAGAGCGTCAACAACGCCCAGAGACGCCCTCTCGGTCGCGGGATGTTGATAATCGACCAAGCGAAAAGGACTCAGTAGTGTCGAGCACGACACCAGTACCAGGACCCAGCTTGACGCCGATTCTGCGTCCTGCAGTTCGACGGCCTCCTCCTCAAAGCATCCTCGGCGAAAACACACCACCGCAATCGTCCACTATGCTTGCTCTTCAACACATGACCTCATCCACACCTGTCAAAGAACCGGAGAACCCTCTTACGGATATCACAAATGGCTCATTAACCTTGTCAAAAGGTCCCCAGAACCTAGAAGCGTTGTCTGATCAAATTCTCAGCCTGACCAGCATTGCGACAGGACTTCAGAAGGAGATGTCTCAATTGAGCCGTCGAAGCAGGGACAATGCTACGGATCTCCTTAGCCTCAAGGAGGCTACAAATTCGAGAGATGAAGATATCCGCAAAAGCCTCAGAGAGCTTTTGGGAAGTCACGGCAATGGCAACGATGGTCACAATAGGCTTCCTCCAGCTCGCGATCCCTTTGGAGGATATTACCTAGACAACAAGCCACACAATCTCTCTCCACCAAGCACCAGGGGTTTTCATCTCCCTAGAATTCCCTCTCCCAAGAGCTTTGGCGACTCAATTGAGCGAGGGTCCATCAGCACACCCTCTCTTACTGGCTCTGAGGCGCCACCCTCCGTCATTCTTCTGGAGCGAATCATTCGGGAAATGGGCACCAAGGAAGGGCAGGAGTCTCTGCTCGGCCGTTTACAGGAAGTTTCCAATAAACTGTCTGGCATGGCCACATCCCAGAAGCTGGACGAAGTCATTGAACAGGTAAAGGCTCAGTCCGAGCAGGCCATCATCCTCGGAAACTCTCTCGCCAGTCCTCATGCGAGCCGGTCTCGTAACCTCAGCTTTGAGTCAGAAAATAGCCGCAGCGATACCATGCCGGGCCAAGCAAGGAGCGCCGTTTCCCAGCGCGTTGAGCACATTATGAGGAATGAGGCTCGTCGAAATTCGGAGCCATCAGCTCGTGGTGCTGAAATTTTGAATGACGACCTCATAAGCATCATTCGCTCCGTCAAAGACAGTGTCTCTCAAGGCGGAGGTCTTACTGCCGAAGTCAAGGCTCTTGTCCGCGAACTACGAGGCGAGGTCCTGGGCATGGGCCGAGAGATTGGCCGACGTCTCGAGCAGCAAGCTTCTCGAAGAGGTGTTGAAGATCATGATACTCCGAGCAAAGATGAAGTCGCTCGCGTTATCGACGAGGGGCTTGAGCAAATGAAGGATCAGCTGAATCATGTTCTCCGCGAGCATCGACGCCAGTCAGCTGCTTCGGTCAACACTCAGAAAAGCGCTGTCGACTACCAAGAGATATACAATGCCATGAGAGCGGCCATCCAAGACAACGAGGCAACCAAGAGTAACTTACCCGACTTGAGCCGAGAAGATGTAATCGAAGCTGTCAGAGACGCCTGGGAGAACTATAAGCCTGAGATCGAAGTGCAACAGCTCGGACTTGAGAGGGACGAAGTCTTGGCTTGTCTGAAGCAAGGCCTTCAGGAGTATGCGCCCCGCGATGACCAGCCTCCCGCTGTGACTCGGGACGAGGTTTTCACTGCTGTTGTAGATGGTCTGAAGCACTTTGTTCCTCCTCAGGTTGATCAGCCCGCCACTCTTTCGAGGGAGGAAATCATTGACGCAGTTCGTGACTGTCTTGAGGAGTTTGAATTCCCTGTTGCTCCAGGTGCTGGAAACGACATCACTCACGAGGACGTTGTACACGCCGTTAGGGAAGGCCTCCAGGACCTCGATGTCCACTCCAGCCGGGCTCTGGTACCCGCTTCAGCCAGCAATGATGATGTTGCTGATCGTCTTCGGGAGATCATGGAATTTCTGCGACATGAGTTCAAGACGTTGTCTGAAGAGACTAAAGAGACTGTCGCGGCCAATGGACGTGAGACTGAGCAGGTACGGGATATGACCAAGGACGGGTTTGAGAACCTTCGACAAGCTATGGAGAGCTATGTTGATCGTGCCACTGGCGCTGCTGGTCAGGAAGAGTTTATGGATGACCTTTTGAAGTCTCTGGAAGATTTCAAGGATGAGATGGCAGGTATTGTCTCAACTACCAACCAAGAATCTCGTGAGCAGCTTCAGACTGAGCTCGAGGGTCTCCGCGAAATTGTCAACTCATCTATGGTGCCTGCGTTGCCACCTCAGACCAACAACACAGAGGTTCTGGAAGCTTTGAACACCGGCTTCAACAATTTGCGGCAAGAGGTTTTGCGACCACGCGCCGAGACAAGTGAAATCCTTGACGCACTTAATGACGGCCTCAACGACCTTCGGGCAGGTATGGACCGTGTCACGAACAAGCCTACCGACTTGACCGCCAATGACGAGATTCTTGAAGCACTCAAGACTGGACTCGACTCCGTCAGAGCTGATATTGAATCTATTCGCGACAGTAGTAATGACCGCGCCGTTGCCACGCTGGAGTCTACACCTCCTGCCAACGACGAAGTCCTTGAAGCACTGAAGTCAGGACTCAGTGGTGTACGAGCTGATATTGAAGCACTTCGAGATAGTCAGACAGAGAAGGCGGTCGCTGTGGTTGAGCCCAAGGAGAACGATGAGGTTCTCGAGGCCTTGAAGAATGGCCTCGATGCTCTCCGTGTTGACATCGAAGCTATTCGTCTAAGCACCTCTGAAAAGCCCGCTGCACCTGTCGACAACACCACCAACGACGAGGTGATTGAGGCTCTCAAGAAAGGGCTTGACTCTCTCCGCGTTGATATTGAAGCCGTTCGTGAGAGTAGCGAAAAGGCTATCGCACCGGTCGACAACTCATCGAGCACAGAGTTCATCGAAGCTCTAAAGAACGGACTTGAGTCACTGAAAGCCGATATTGAATTATCTCGTGACAATAGTGATCGTACTGCACTCGGAGAGGACACCTCAAACGATGAAGTCATAGTTACTCTCAAGAATGGTCTTGATTCCCTCCATGCCGAGATCGCAGCTCTTGCAGCCCAGGAGAAGCCTGATGCTCCCATAGAGAACACCTCAAACGATGAAGTTATCGTCACCTTGAAAAATGGTCTTGACTCTCTTCACGCCGAAATAGTAGCAATCGCTACTGCCCAAAAGGAAGCAGCCGCCCCAGTCGATAATACCACCAATGACGAAGTCATTGAGGCCCTTAAGAATGGCCTCGATTCTCTACGAACCGACATCGAAGGACTCCAAGAAAGTAACCAGAAAGCTTTAGCCCCAGTTCCAGATACCAAGCCAAACGATGAGGTTCTGGATGCTCTCAGGACAGGATTAGAGTCTCTCCGTTCAGATATCGAAACTCTTCGAGAAAGCAACAATGAACGAGCCATTGCACCTGCAGAATCAGCCATCGACGAGAAGATTCTTGATGCTCTCAAAACCGGCCTTGAGTCTGTTCGTTCCGACATTGAGGCCTTGCGGGATAGCAACAGTGAGCGGGCCCTTGCTGCAGTGTCAACTGAGAAGACAGAAGATGACGGGCCGTCCGAAAAGATCAAACCGGATGACATCAAGAACCTCGAGGTGTTGATCGCTGGACTTGCTATCAAGATCGACTCTGTCAAGTCTGAGAACGAGGGTGTTCAGAAAGATGATCTGTCTCGTATGGAGGATTTACTTCGCACAGTTCAGGACAGCGTTGACGAGATCGCCTCCCGGGAGACACTCACAAGATCGGCTTCTGTAAAGAAGAAGAAGGAGGATGGAGAAGAAGTGACCGCTCGTGCAATTGTGGGAGATGGCGATGAGCCTGCATCAAAGGAGGACATGCAAGCCATCGAGACTATCCTGCGCAACACCAAAGGTCAACTGGACGATCTGATTGATGGTGAGCAAGCTGTTCGAAAGGACCACATCGACAATGTGGAGGCCTTGCTTCTTGAGACTCGGGAGACTATGGGCTCCCTTACCACTCAATTGGAGACGGTCTCCCGCAAAGAGGAGGTCACGGCCTTGGAAGCTCTTCTTGGTCAAGTCTCAACTAGACTTGATGAGATGAAGGAACACGCTACCAAAGAGAGTGAAAATCCCGACAAGGTCACCAAGGCTGATGTCGAGGCCGTTGAAGCCTTGGCTCTTGAAGTCAAGACAGCTCTTGAATCTTTTACCAGCACCGACCTCGCTCTCCTCGCGCGCAAGGAGGACATTGCCAGCCTGGAGGCTCTTCTTGTCAAGAAAGAAGATCTTACCGGCTTAGAATCTATTGTCAAAGACTTTCAGGACAAGCTGGAGACCACAGTTGACGCTCAGACCAAGGCAATCGCAGTCCGTGATGAGGAGAGCACCTCCGTTGGCGAGCGCGTTACCGAGGTCAAAACCTTCCTTGAGGAACTACAAGGAACCATCAACGTCAAGCTTGAAGAGGGCGCAACTGGTGTCGAGAGCATTAGTAAGCTCCTGGAGACCGTCGGCGAGAAGATCAACAAGAACGAGAACGTCCACCAGGACCTCAAAGACATGCTTGATACCATCAAGACTGAATTTGAGGACTCGAAGGCTGTTGTGTCTGGCGTCAAGGTCGAGTCTAACGAGAAACTTCAAGAGGCAACCGAGACGCTAAGCACCAAGATCGACGAGAAGATTGGTGAGCTCATTGCCAAATATGAGACTCTTCAGACTACCCTTGATGATAGAAGCAAGGTCAGCGAAGCCCGGGACGAGGCTATGGAGGCAGCCGTTGTAAGCTCTAAATCTGTCACAGACGAGCTCAAGCTTCTCATTGATACTCTGGGCTCTACTGTCACTGATTCTCTGGAGAAGATGGAGGAGGCTTCTAAGACTGTCTTCACCAAGGTGGAGGAGCTCGTTGCCCGCAGTGAAGAGACTCACACCGAGGACAAGGCCGAGCATCAGCAAACCCGCGACCAAATCACCGAGGCTTTGACGGCTGTCGAGAGCCTGAAAGGAGAGGTCAGCGAGTCTCATCCCAAGATTCTCGAGTCTGTCAAGGATCTTCTTCTACTTGTCGGTGAACACTATGAACACTCAAAGTCTTCGACGACCGAAATCCAGGACAAGATTGTCGAGCACAAGTCTCCTGAAGAGCTCATGACCCTCCTGACACTTCTCACTGATGACAAGTTTCATAACACACATGTTCATGAGAAGTTGGATAAGCTCATCGAACAGATTTACAATGATTCGGAAGTCAAGGAACGTCTCGACAAAATCATCGAAGAAAAGTACAACGACACAGAGGTTCGCGAGAAACTAGACAAGATCATCGATGAGAAGTACGATGATTCTCAAGTGCACCAGAAGCTAGCTACCATCATCGAGTCTAAGTATGATGATTCGGAGATTCGGGAAAAGCTGGAGAAAATCATCGAATCTAAGTATGACGACGCCGAAGTGCGGTCTAAGCTTGACAAGATCATCGAAGAAAAATATGACGATGCACCAATCAAGGAAATCCTCGGCATGCTTGTTGAGCAAAAGTACGACGATACGCCCGTCCGCGAGAAGCTTGATCTGATCATGGACTCCAAGTACGATGATACTTTGGTCCGCGAGAAGCTCGATCTGGTTCTGGATGGCCGATATGACGACGCTGTCGTGCAAGAGAAGCTTGACAAATTGGTCGACCACAGCGCCGTTGCCGATCAAGCCTTCAGTCGCCTTGATACGCTGGATAAGGTTCATGCCTCGGTAGTCCAGACAGCTGCTGATATTTCCGAGTTCCTCTCAGTGCAGAAGCAGCGAATTGAGCAGGCTCACGAAGACCATACCAAGACTCTCCAAGAGACCATGGCATCTGTGGAACGTAAGCTCGCGGAGAAGGATCACGTTGAGGCAGCAGTTGCAAGTCTCCGAGACGAGGAGGAGAGGCTTCGACAGAGTGTTATGACGCTGAGAACAGAACAGGAGAGCCTGATACGCCAGAAGACACGTTTGACTGGTGATGTCTCTTCCCTCGAGACGGCCCTTCACATGCGTAAAGAGGAACTCTACGACATGGAATCTCGTGCTGAAAACCTGGAGCGCCGGATCCTCGAGGGCGTTATGGATCATTCACGAGTCCTTCTCATGGCAAAGGCCAATAGGAACGGTGGCGATGCTATGAGCCGCAAACGTGTTAGAAAGCCTGCCAACGAAGAGGAGTCTCCGGAAGCAGGTGCACATGGCCGGAAGTCTATGGTTGGCATGGCACTGAATGCTAAACGCAATTTGGCTGCTCCAGTACAGAACGGAGCAGGTCGCAGAATCGTTTCGCTCAGCCAGATCAACAACAACGTAGCTTCTGGAGGTGTCAAGCGCAGCCAGAGCGTACGAACCCCTTTGGGCGGCGGTAAAACATACCGCAAACGAAGCTGGGGTGGTAATCTCGACAAAGGCCTCGCTGACAATGACAAAGAGAATACTCTCAATGAGACCGTCGAGGAGGTTGATGAGGCAGACGTCAAGTCAGCAACAGCACCAGAGGTTACAGAAACCCCTACAGAAGAGACAATAATCATTGAATCGACACCCAATGATGAGGAAGCGGATGGTGGTGAGGGTGGCGACAGCGACAACGAAACCTTGAGAAGAAGCAGTCGAGGCACCGTAGTCACGAACAGCACAGATATGTATACGGATGGTGACGAGGGTAGTGAGTACAGTTATACCGAAAGCGAGTGGACAGAGAGCAATGTTGGGACTGATGCAGGATCAGTGCAGGGCAACGAAGTAGTGGTCTATGGGAATTAACGCGGAGGAGCAATGACGACGAGCTTGATTTAGCTGGCACACCATACCATTCATGTTTATTTCGAGATGGAAACGAGACAAGGGAGACTTGAGTTTGGCGGGTGATGTTTATTTGGCAAGGACATTAATGACTGATTGTATGACGAGCGAGCGTTCAGGATTGGCATGGGTTTTGATCGGATTGGAGACCTTCCCCCTTTTTCCTTAGTATTCGCAATCTGCTTAGGTCGGCTTTGACGAGGATAATGTTTTCTTGACAACTTTTTAGTAACAAAAGAATGTACGAATCAATAACTTTACTGAGACTGTCCTTGTAGGGCTACAAAGGTGAGCTGAAGCAAACCGAGGCCCACATTTGACGACTGATGAATTATCTTATCTTATCAGCAACTGAATCGAACGAGCCCCTCCAGAACCGCGCCTAACTTAGCACGTAAACATACCTATAATTTGTGGACCAAGATTCAATAACCAACATAATCCACGACTTGTCTTCCCATACCGTCAATCAATCAATTGCAATAGTCACCATGGATCAAACCCAAGCAGGGGGGCTCCTTGATCCTCCTGAACTCACACCACTCGAGCAAGAGGTTTTGGACGAGTACGAACGCTTGGCCGATAACATGAACAAAGTGCGTCTGCCTCATTATGCTGGGATCTGACAGACAGGCACAGACTGACTGATATTATTCCTAGCTCGCCACTGTCCTCGAACATCTTGCTTCGAACCCTAGTACAGAAATTCTTGACGGTCTTCGTGAGCTCGAGCGCAAGACGAGTCTAGCCTTTACTCTTCTCAAAGCCAGTGTTTACAGCATAGTCTTGCAGCAGGAGATTGACTGGGGTGATGGATCGACAGCGCAATGAGTTTAAATGAATCAAAGAAGAACGAAAGGGCAGCTTTGTGGTGGAAGAGGCAAGGATTGATACCCAACCAAATATGATGCGCGAAACGATACCTTCTTTCACATGGCAATACGACAGACATTTGATACCAAGCCATGATAGATACATCAACTATGCCATTTTTTTTACCATACCGAGGGCATCAAACAAACATTTCTCTATTACAGGCTACAGATACACGTTTTTTTCATTTGGTGATACAGTTGGTTTGCGTGGGAGTGGGTTTAATATACAGCTCCTCCATAGTAGACCTTGCGCACGTCCACCAGCTTCTTGCCCCGGCCGATGGCTATCTGCTCGGGGTCGGGCTGGTTGGTCAACGCTTGGTACGCCGCCTTGACAGAGTTCATGGGGTTCTTGGATCGGGGCATGCGAGCAGCGATGTCATGGATACCGGCGGCGCGGCACATCTCGAAAATACGGTGAGGGCAGCGAAGTCCAAATCCTGGGAGGGAGGAGGTTAGCTAGCATGATCGCGTGGTTGCCGGTGGTGAGTGTATACATACCGGGAGGACGGGCCATCAGCTCGACTACAGTGCCTGAAATCTTAGCAGACACATTACCATAGATAGTACGGTTCTCATATCGTCGGACGGGTTTCATGTTGCGGATGGCCAACATCTGAGCTGTCTCCTCAGCCACACCGGCCTCAGTAGACTTTGCCATTCCAAGTCCTAGACGGCCATTGCCGTTACCAGCGATGGCAACCACAGAGGTACTGCGGACCTTGCCCAAACGAGTTTGATTGGAGACCCAACGAGTCACAAGACCTTTGGTCAGCAGCGAGCGAATGTCCTTGAGACTCATGCCTGTCAGGCGCTTGATCTCCTGGTACTTGCCCGAGTCATCCTGGCCCTGATCCTCGGGGTCAACGGCGTGCTTGTACAAGCCTTTGACACCAGGGACCTTACCGAGATCAGGTGCCTCAGCCGAGTAGGTCCGATCAACACCCGCGGGGCCATCCTGAATGAGCTCAAGGTTCGAGGGTTCGACCTCACCCTGACTGCTAAAACCAACAATCTTGTCGAGCTCGGCCTCCCATGCCTCGTCAACAGCCTCATCCAACTTCTCAGCCTGGGAACGAGTCATGAACTCGGGACCCTTATCGTTTGCAGTGGGCTCGGGGCCGTCCTCGGCGATGATGTAGCGTTTGATCAGCTCAGGGTCCTTCTCAATGTCCTTGAGCTCATCCTCAGTGAGATCTATCAAGTCCTCTCCCTGGCTCTCCTTCACACGTCGCAATGCTCGGACCATGGCTCGGGTAAGTTGGTCACTCGTCTTCTTGTCCGTGATCTTCATCATTTTTTGGCCGTAATTGTCGATCCATTCGCTCTTGTCAGGCCATTGCACCTCTCTCGGGGTGCCTTCGATCTCCGGCTTGATATCGTAGCGGGGGTCCAGCACGGTATAATCCTCGATGTACGTTGGCTTGTAGGGATCGTCACGTAACCGACCCTGAATGATCATGTCTTCAGGGCTGACGGCTTTCTCGCCCAGCTCAATAGCCTCAAGTTGCTCTGGTGTGTAAGAGGCCTTGAGGTTCTCGAGATCCTGCTTGGACAGGTCGGCAAACTTGTCCTGCTTGTACTTGTCCATACCCGCCGTGAATTCACCCGACTCCTTGATCAGACCTAGCTCCTGGGCCGTGACATTTCGAAACCGAGACTTTCGCTTCGACCTGGGTGGTGTGCTGTGGAATTGACTACATGGTACGAGAGGGACGTTGACTGAAGCGGTTCGAGATGAGGCGATGCACCTGCCAAGGAGGTTGCGCGCCGGACGTGCGACGCTCATGGTCGGCACGAGGTTGAGGAGTATTAATTCGACGAGGGCCAGCGGCAATGGAAAAGGAAGAGGAGGAGGAGGAGGTCGGATTAATTAGCGTCGCTCTCTCTCGCTCTCTCTCTCGCTCTCTGTCGTATCTCTCTCACACGAGCTAGAGATTTTTTGGGGACCCAAGAAATGGATGGTTCTCAATTGACATAATCCCCATGCGGTTAGCGGTTCATGAACAGCAAAAGCCAATCAAAATCAGGACTTGCAACACCTTTACCATGGAAAGTCACCTAGAGCCGACCCTGGAACTTTCATTCTCCGTTTATAATCACGTGCTCCAGAACATGCTTGTCTAATTCAACCTCATCCATTGTCGGGACGTTCCTTGAACCCACCGAATGGAATCAACCGCCTGAATACGGAACTCCTCACTAGATCTACATCAGTGACGCCATTATGAAGCCCGATGAGTGTGATTGAACGGTTTCTTCTTCTATTCAGGTACTAGCCGCTTGCTTCATCGTACTCTCACAATTGTATTGTCAGCCATAGCCAATCATAAGCCACCTTCACATCAGTCGACTTTTGTTACAAGTTCAGGTACTAGCCGCTTGCTTCATCGTACTCTCACAATTGTATTGTCAGCCATAGCCAATCATAAGCCACCTTCACATCAGTCGACTTTTGTTACAAGGTGAAACGTCTCAGTAACACCCCTGGAAGCCAAGCGACTGTTAGGGGTCTTCCACCGTTGTCACCACTCACGGTGGACCATTTACCACATTTGCTTCGCGTCCCGTCTGTCACTTTGACTCTTTTCCTCTTCCCATAGCTATCTCGGTCTCTGTACGTCTTTATTCTATTCCATTCACAGAACATATTATCTTCCATTCCTACTCTGTACGTGACTGGCGCACTGTACGGCTTAATTGAAATCGAAAAAAATAAAATAAAATAAAAATCCGGCATTCTTTTATCAAAAATACTATACTCTTCCTAATACTACGACAACGACAACTTCATCCTCACAACCAAACATACCTAGTCTTCACGATGGGTCAGTTTGACTGGTTCTCCTCTATCGGCGCTACAGACGAAGCTGTTGCTGTCCTCAACGACCAACCCATTATTTTCACCATCCTCTTGGTGGTCCTTGTGGCTGTCATTCTGCAAATCGTCCTTCTCTGGTACATTCACTATGCAACTATGAAGCCCGAGCAGCGCAAAGCAAAACAGGACAAGAAGGATAAGAAGAAAGCGGGCAAGACGGCAAAGCCAAGCAAATAAGCACCATCTATTCCTTCAGCAATGATCAACGTCAATCTTTATATCCTGGCCCATGGGGCACTCGTTTGCGATCTTATCGACTTAACATTCAACATTACATCTGCCTCGCCATTTCTATAGAACAGGCTCAAGCGCTATGCTACGCTTGCCTCTCCCATACGCTATCTATAATATATCAATCTTGCTTAGAGCATCACCAAACCCCGCCATTCTGGTCAAACCTCTTTTCAGTTTCCGAGTGACACGCTTTCATCATCACATGTTAGTCTAAGTTACATTGATTATCGCAGATCAGCCAGTGGTCCAGACTTGGGAAGTTTGCTGGGTCGACTATTGTCTCCCGTCTTGTTGTGAGGTCAATATCCTGCCTCATCCAAGCTTGCTCAAGTTGCATCTCATCCATAAACCCCATTGTGTCAAAACCAGTTCCACACCGACCAGTTTCACCAGGCCATGGCTCTGGCCAACCTATGAAGGTTGGGCTACTTGTAGCATCACTCCATAGATCTTGATCCGTTTTGACAACTTCGAGACTCAAGTCAGTTATTGCTTCGTGATGCTCCTCATCCTTCGCAATGTCGAGGTAACCATCCATGATGTCCCAGCTTACATCCATCATTGTACTTCTTTGACTTTTTGGATGCACGCATTCGCCTGGTTTTGGCGCAACGAACCCTTGGTCCGATATGCGAGAGTTTCGAGTCGGGAACATGATTCTTTTTGGCGTTCTCCTATTTGTCACTGGAGGCATATTGACATTTAGAAGAAGTACCTCCCATGCCTTTCTCTCCAGTATGTCCACAGAGCCTTTTTTTGCGCTATGTGGGTGAGAATAAGCCTCGTAGCCCGATGCTAGATCGGCCACTTGCTGTCTGAGCACCGGCGACTCGGCATGCTGCATACTTGCTAAGGATGTGGCAATGATGGGTAGTAGTTCGGCGCGGTCCGATATGCTCTACTTCTTTTATCAGCGACTGGAATAAATAATTGGCGAGACCCATACCTTGAGGTAAGGCATATGAAATACTCCCGGCGCAAGCTTGGTGAGGCAGTAACTGAGTCCGCAGCCCCAGACTTGGTAGCCCCTGTACGACCTCTCTGGTGCCAGCATCAATTGCTCAAAGAGAATTTCGACTAGGGACGATGACTGCAGGTCTTCCAATACTTTGATATCCTGAATAGTATCCTCCCTGGGGAGACTCTGCGATGCATTCACGCTCCCTTCTTCGCCTAGGGAGTTGAGACTAAGCATGAAGCTGTCAATAGCTTGTTGGTCGGTCAGCTCCAGAGTGTTTAGCAAATTGCTCTCGATAAAGCCTTCGACCCTTTCCTTCGACTTAACCCTCTTCTTCCGCCGCTTGCTCGTTCTTAAACATTTTCGAGGCCGTTCTTCTTCTTGAGACAAGTTACCCACATCGATAGACAACGTTAGCCTTCGAAATGCTGTGGTACAGGCTGAAACTGGGGCAACGAGAGCCGAAGAGAGATCTGGGTGCTGGAGTGAGAAAGATAGAAGTCCAGGTTGCTGAACTGGACACGAACGGTTGGGTTCTAGATGAACGCCCAGGCGACCCCAAACCTGATCAACTCAGTTACAACTAACTCTGGAAGTTCCAAGGCATAGCCAACATACCTCGCAACCGCTGACTGCCTCGGCGATGGCATTGAGACGGAAAGTCTCAAGGATCGGATGTCCATTTATTGTAATAGAAACCTCAAGGCAACAAGCACCGGACCGAGCAATCCAAAGATGAGAATCTTCCACTGCCGAGGAGAGATCCTTGATCGTTGCAATATGCCATGCGCCACCAGGGGTATCAATATTGATCGATGCTGAAGCTGATAGTTCAACATTTGCCTGGTTTGCGATCACACGAATAGTCGGGAGCCGCAACGCGCACGACATTGTTATTCCATGCTTGACTAGGTAGGCAATGGGAGGGGAGGCGATTCCGCGGTGTTCTTATTGGAAAATGATCCCGAGGATTGCTTTTGTGGTCAAGGAAGGAGCTGGTTGTCCATCCCAAGAAATTACCCACCTACCCAATGGAATGCGAGAAGCACCCGACGACGGGACAGTGGAAAGAAGGAGCGATCTGATAACGTCCATTATCTACCAGGGCAGGTACTCAAGGTAGGTACATTTCAATACGCGGTAATCATCCAAAATGTTATAGGCAGGCAGTTGAGAGATATTGATAGATATCGTAGCCAAGTCGCTAATCATTAGGGTGGATGTCCAAAATATGAGCCCCCTACTACTAAGGTAAGTCAACCACATAAATCCTAGGTGTGTACATCATTATCTGGCTATGTTCAGTCCAAGCCAATAGGCGCACAAAGTCTATAAAATGCTCCCAATATTTGCATCCATAAGTATAGTGCGCATGCGTGCTCCGTAAACTCCGTCCAAGCAATTGATAGATTACTTTGCAAACCATGGGAACTTCTTCTTAGGCGGCTCAGCGAAATTCCCTGAGCCACTTTCGACTTGCACACTTCGCTGATAAATATCCTGCATGACGCCGTTAGTTTGTGTCCTTGAGGGATGATGCAACTGAATTCTTACCTCTTCATCCGTTGGCATGCGACAACCCAGAATCAGTTCTCTTGCAGTGTCGTGCTTGGTTAGATTTGGGTATGATGTGCTCTGGCTCTTCATGATTGGTAACAGGACCTCTCCCAGAACCTCAAACTTCTTCCAATTGATGCGATCTCCATCCGTACCAACGAATGTTCTGCTTCCCTCCTCTGCTGACACCAAATCTCTTCGATGAAGGGGAATGAAAGGAATCCGGGGGAGGGAAGAATTTTCCCAGGCTAGACGGTAGGCGAAATGACTCTTCTGGGTTCCCATCAATATGCCCAACCGCGCAAACCGCTTTTGGACTTCTGCTGGTACTAGTGTTCTCGTCTGATTTAATCGATGAATGGCCGTTCCGTTCACACCTGCTAGTATGGCCGCCAACCCATTGTAGTTGTTGAGTTGCCGCAGCTTCAGTGAAATATTCATGAACTTCTCTAATATTAGCGCTCGATGCTTGGCTTTGTCCCGCAACAGAATCATGTTGGCAACCCATTTGGCAACATGATTGAAATGGTTGATCATTCGATTCACATTCCGTAAACTCTTGCAACGCTCCTTTTGGGACGCAGATAGGCTGACATGTCGAACGAAATCGCGTATTCGAATTGAGGAAAACATGATCCAATCAATTCTCGTCAGCTCGTCCGCAACATCATCGTCGGGGATGTCCATGAATATATGGTAACGGAATTTGTTCATAGGTAAGTTGTCCGTAGGTTCCAGGTTGCTCGCGGCTCTTTCGTAGTCCTCAAATGTATGGAAATGCACCTGGCTCGAGACACTGCTGCTTCTGTCCGCAAGAGAGACCTCTGAGCTTCCAGATGGTCTTACGTCCAAGTCCGACTCCACAGTCAACACACTCACACCCGACGACAGCTCGTTCATGTCCTTTGACAAGATCTCACTTGCGAGCTTATCGCTAGTCTCGTCCGAGTTTGCCCAACCTGTATCGTCGTCTTCCACGACATTGAATTGGAGGTGTCGTCGCATATGTTGCGCTGCGATTGAGAAAATCGGCTCTGTACTCAGATGCCTGATAAACTCCTCCAGGTTTCGTCTAGTTTGAGGACGGGCGAAGTCGCCGGGGTAAAGTGATACCCATTTGGCGACCACCTCAATAATTCGGAGCTGTGTGGCTGTCTTGGAAAGGTAATGCGCTGTCTTATCGTCTCTCACTTTATCCAGTCGGGTTAAAATGGCAGTAAATAGCTCACCAGGAGCTGCAAACTTGCGATAAAGACAGAGAAAAACATCAGAGAAGTTGTTGTCGATTCTTGTTAAGCGAGGAGCAAGAAGCCGATCAACTAGCTCATCGAATGTTACGCCTGCCATCTTCGCTTGCTTATCCAGCGTGTTATCGTCATTTCTTTGAAGTATCGGGATATCATCTGAGTATCGGTAGGATTCTGCATCAGACTCATCCACATCCAAGAACGAATCGGTACTGGGTCTGTCGAGTCGAATGCCAGGAGTCCTCAACATGTTATTGAGTGTTTGCGCTTGGCCCAGTTCTCCTGCCTCGGGATTCGAGCTGGCTGTATGACCCTGCCTGGGGCTGCGAGACGATTGCGCCCGGTAGTTTTCGTGGATTGGTGGATTGGAGAAACCCTTGAGTAAAGAGAAATCGGAGCTTGCTCGGCTATGTTTGCTATGTTGGCTAATGGGGCGCCCGGTGCCTACGTCGGGAGCTTCCAAATTGGCAGCAGACTGCGCTCGCCTGCGCGAGAACGTTTCACCATTTTCTTCTACACCATAGTTAGCAAGAGTCTGTCGGTAATATCTTCCTCGTTCACTCACCTCTTCTATGGGCTATTGCGGCCCTCAAGATGGTGTGGAGGCACGTTTTGGCAACATCAACGTCATTTGAGGAGATTTTGTAGGTTGAAACACAAGATTTAAAGAGTTGATGATTCGCAATGGCTTCGGCATTGACCTGCCATTCAGCTTCAGGGGTTTCACATTTGCAAGCCACCAGACTAGCGGGTAAACCAGAGTTCGTGAGAGCCGCTAGAATTGTACATTTAGTATAGCCTCAGCCGTTCAAACAGATGGATTTCATACCCAAAGTCTGAGGTAGTTCACGCACGGATTCATGATTGGTGACATCATATAATATAAGAGCAGCATCGACGCGGGGGACGATATGCCCATTGATCTGTTTTGGCCACTGGATGGGCTGCGTAGGGTTCAATTCGAAATACTCCAGGTCCAGCTCGAGTAGAGTTACGGCGTGAGAGTTGTTGTCGACCAGCATGCGGACGCTGGAAGCATTCGAGATGGGTGGGCGAGACAGGCCTAAGACCCGCTGGACAAAGGAAGATTTGCCAACGCCGGTAGAACCGATGACGGCAATGTTGAAACTTTCCATAGTCGGTGGTGCTTGGGACTGTATAGCGTCAAGCTGTGGTCAGCCATCTGTCGCAAAACTGCCTCTACCATCCAAACCCCGGATGACCGTTTGTTGAGCAACGCTGCCCCGCGATAGCTAGGGTGGGGCCGCATGTGATGGAACATGGTTACATACCCAGTACGAAGAGGGTGTAGCGGTCAAAGATTCTCGTCGTGGAGGCGGCCAGTATTGGCTTGGTTCGTTATCATCGCTGTCGGGCTTCACTTTCTTTCCGCCGCCGCTTTTGCGCTTGGCTTGCTTGGCCGCTTTGCCGAAGTTGTGCCCCTTTGTGTCGTGAAAAAGATGCTCGTGGTCCTCGTCTTCTAGCGATTGGTAGACCGAACTGCCATCAGATTGGTCCTCGTCCTCGGAAACTGCAGCAGCTTGAACGGCCGGGTCGTAGGTCTGGAAGAAGGGGTCGTCAATAATTGAACCGACAGAATCTCGATGGCCGTTGGCCGGGGCTGAAGGATCGGAGTCGCTCTCGATGTCGGGGTCTATGGAAGCCGGGCCTGAAGCGGCAATGCCTGAAGTTGGGTGAGCATTCTGTGAGTCAACATGATTGGTTTGCATTGTCGCAACTTCAGCGACTAGGCTGAGTGGTAGAGATAAACATGGACGGGATAGACTCTGTGCCAGCAGGCGCAAATGGCAGATGGAGGGACCAAATCCTTGCGGGGATGGAAGAACTCGTGGAGCTTGCTTGACTAAGGTAGGGTAGGTAGCTACAGCAGGGGTTCAAACCCGTAGTAGGCTGTATGAGGGAGAGAATGGAGAAGGGATGAAAACACTCGAGGTCTGAGTAACGAGAGACAAGAAGGCACTAAAATGAAGGGCGAAATGCTAGCAAACAAGGGAGGGAGAAGAATTTACCGTACCTTAGGGACTGACAAGACTTGCACTGTACTGTGTTGTACAGTACCGTGCTTGGGAAACCAACGGAATAAATTGGTTCGATGTCCAATTGGTGGCAGTTTGGCGACCTAGTGAGAGGGATGGATGGATGGATGCGCAGATACCGCGGAAACAAGCACTGCGTCCTTTGAGTGACAGCCACCAGGTGAGACAAATTGAACGGGTATCTTGAATTAGTATAAGCACTGAACGTTCAGAACGACAAAGATTGGAGTCCTATCAGCTCTTGTCTCGAGGTACACGCCAGGCCACCACCTGTTCTGAGGCAATACCCAATAGAGGCACCAAGACACAGAGTTGAGACACCTAACTCGGAGTACTCGAAACCTATTCGAAACCCATCGTGTTAGTCCAATTCGACCAACCTTAAGCCATAGAGCGGAAGCCAAGAGCGTTTACACAACGGGATAATGCACGGCATTCCGGCTGCAAGCGGGAGAACTACCTAATACTGTGCAGCCACGTACTGCAATTGAATACTGCTGGTTGAGGCCCAACCTGGATTGGATATATCTTTGAGCAAATCTGAAGAGAAGAGCCTCGAACAGATGTCAGGAGAGGTGAGGAGAGGATGCGCTACGACGCGCTGAAGCGGACCCGGCGTCGTGGGCTGGAGAGTGGATGCGTGTGCGTACAGTATGTAGGCGGATGCAGACGCCTCTGACTCGGAACGGGAGAGAGCCACGAGGGGAAAACTCCTAAGGAACGCGTGCCCAGGAATGGACAGAGAGTATCATCAATCTTGACACCGTCAAGTTCGACTGCGCGAAATGTCGAATCTGGCACAAAGAGGGGAGAGAGCTGGAACCGAGCCACAGGCTCGGAACAGGGAACGTTTTAGGAGCGGATGGGGATGGTCTAAGGTACGGTACGGGAGACTTAGTTGGGCAGGCTATTTCCAGTTAAGGAAACTGGGTTCAAAGCGCTGCGTTATGCAGGACTCGGGCAAGTCAACTAATAACTCACTCATTTCTCGGCGTTGTTCTGAGGACTGACTTAAATTGTGTGCTGAAGATCAACGGTAATAGCAACCATCCCTAACAATATAACAGGCCCAAAAAGAATGCGGCACGGTATCGGCATCGGCGCGGCACGAAACGGTTCCTGGAACGCAAACAAAGGGTCTTTGTCCTTGACTGAGACAGTCAGCAACTCTCTGCTTCTATATAAAGGACCTCGAACCAAATTTTCCCAAGACTGACTGGCCTTGGGGGCTTCTTGGTTTCCACGCACTCTAATTGCACATCTCCCCAGGATCCAATCCCGCGTTCTGTGTTGGCGCTTTGTTGCCCATTGGCCAGTGCACAAAAAACCAACAGGGCCTTACCTGGCACTGGATCATTCTAGACAATCATAAGACTCACGTTCAGTTATACCAGTTCCTGGTTTGATAGATAACCACTTCAGCCAGCCACGAGGAAGTGGTGCTGACAATGGATCCTGGTACAGAGTATACAGGGCACCCATCATGTTGCCTCTGCCTTACACATGGTCTTGACATCCAGGACATCCAATAGCGACTGTTTAGACCTCGCTCACGCATCCCCAACCCTCGCCTACCAAGCCATCTTAAGGGACTTGAATTAGTAACCTACATTGGACACCACAAGATTCCAGCTCTTCACAGACGGACCTCATGGATGCCATGCAACTTGCTATAATCTAAGGCAACGGGCGCTACACAGTACGGGGCCATGGATACACCTGGCCCATTCGGCTCTCATCATTTGTCATTATCACCGTCTTCCATATTCCTCACCGGGTCCCTTCGCGATCGATGCAGGCATTGTTCATACATTATGAGCTTGAATTCTCTAAAATGATAAAGTCACATGAGGATGATTTGTTATTTCTATGAATCCTTCAGCTTCAGTATTTGCTCCTAGAGAGGCATTCCTCAAGCCAGTCGACACTTGGACACAATCAGAACTTTGGTGCCGTGTTCTATTCTCCGACCAAGTTCAAAGCTCAAACGGTTGACTGAGATCTGGAAGCGTATGGGGATAAAGTACAGAATTTGTAAGAGGACGTATCGTCGACACCAAGTTGCCATATGTGATCCACGGCTCTGACTGCTCATTACGAACAGTTCTCAAGACACTTCTCTGTTGTTGAGATGGAAAGAAAACAAGGCAGATCGGTCCGGTTCCCCAACAGGCACCTTCCAGAGAGCATAATAGCTGACGTAGCTGAAGAAGTTTGGTTGTTATTGGCGCTTGTCCGTATCCGTATCGTAATTATAGGACCAGAGGATATTCAAACTAGCAGCTCACAGCATCCGTTCACTGGCTTTAAGGACGCGATTCATGAGATAACACCAACGAATAAACTTTGGTGGTTCGCAACTAACAGAGACTCGACTACACAATCCGCCTGGTACATATTATCATCTGGCCAACTAGCAGGCTGATACAGGAATACGTCATTTTTCAGTTTAGTTCCCCGAAATGGAGCGGATTGTCAACATATCTTTCACTTACCAGAACTTTTGCTGCAACAGTCAAGTACACATGATTGTGAGGACAAGTAGGATAGGATCTTGCTCCGCCAACAAAGGGAAAGAAAGGAACGACTATAAGATATAACGACTCGACAATATGCCATGCAAAGCACTTTTTAGGTCAGATTTGCTATACAGAGCCAAATATCTCGGCCGAAAGCTATGGGAGACGAGGCTAATCAATATTATCCATCAGATTTCATGCTATTCCCATCAACCAAATAACTCGGCAACAGCGAAAACCGACAGAAAAGTTACGGTACTGGCAAGTCTGCCAGAAGACCCTTCAAGCACGCTTTGGGCTCTTGCAAATACTCCGAGAGACGTTGTTCTCACCCGTGTCTGGTTCTAGTCATTATAAGTCACAGCCGGCTTAGCACATTCCTGTGACCCAAAGCGGGAGCTCTTAACTCGGAAAACGCACGAGCCGTCCTACGAGTCCTGTCAAGTGTCAATGGATTGTACTCGCAAAGTGTAGCGCCGCCGTCTGCCAAGTTGGGGAATCCAAAGTGAGATCCCAGTTCTCCCAGTGAGCTGCAAGTTTGTCCGTGCTAGATGATGGGGTCTGTTCAGGGACAAACCATGTATGGCGATCATAGAGGTAAATCAATGCCGGATCTGCATCTTTGAGTGAAGAAACTCTGACATATTTGATCCTTTTGGACTCGAGTTTTCAAAAAGGCACTCAAAGATATTGAGTGGCCGTTTTCTTAGTTGAGTGGTACTCAAATCTCTGTTGGTTCGACTCAGTGCCCTTGCAGTTCTGGCCCCTTCGACTGGAATTCCATCCACGTCAACACCATTCCCTGGCTAGAGGATGTTCGGCCACTTCGAGACCCAAGGTATGTCGCCGTGCCAAATCCCTGGAGAATTGAAATGCCCAGTCTTTGATGACCTCCACATGTTCGTGACATTGGCTCTGTCACGAGACCCAATGACTGCTTCAATGTCTTACCAAAAACCCTGAATGACGTTGGATCAACCCATGTAGCTGGATCCTCCAACAATCTACCAAACGTCCTGTTTGTGTGGACTATTTCTAAAAGCAGCCATATCCGAGAATAGGGTTTTTGTGGAATACTAGGTTGGAGAAGTTGTCCCCTTTCGGCGATCAGGAACGCAGGCGACATTAGTTGATCATAACAAAGGGACCAAATTAAGCTCTGGCCGGACCAGCCCACCCAGCCCGCCGTCGACTTGCGAGCCAGTTACACCACGATGGCGCTTCTGGTTGATAGATGCCCACTCATCGCGGACAGCTTCATAGTTTTCCTGAGTGGGCCAGGCCTGGAGTCCAGGGCAGACATGCTTTGCCAAGGAACTGTAGCCATGACGACGTTTACATTTCGTTGTGGTAAGAGACATTTATGTCGCCGAGATCCCCAACATCCACTAGATACGTTCAAAGACTATTTCAAGTTTTCCTATATAGTCAAAGAATCGTAAAACGCAGGCTTGTTTGTCGATATCACATTACCTACCAGTGGCCAGCAACCCTGCAGCCGTCATACTGGCATTCAATCCCCTAGGATCCCATCCCATATCTCCTTCTCCAAGCCCGTCACCGAGTTTGCCCAGCATGACTACAACAATGCTGTACACGACGGGCATTTCAATGGAGGAGCCAAGTCATCGGTTTTCGCCCACGACAGTGGCTCCTGGGAAACCCAGGCATCGACCAAAAGCCTTACAGATCCAGCCACTGGACTCCAGCGAATTGAGCGCGAAGTTGAACGATATTTCAGTCGAGCACGAAGGCCAGCCTCGTCGTCCAGTCCACACAGAGGACTCACTCCGCCCCCCATTATCTGCCACAAGTATGGGTGCCTTGTCTCCCCGGACTATTCAGACAACACATACATCGCCATCGATTCCAACCCCTGTCTCATCAAGACTCTTCAGGAAAGAGAAGACTGATGATCAACTCAGTTCACCTTTGTCTGCAAAGCCGCCACGCCGTGGCAGCTTTTTTGACGCCTTCCGCTTCAGAGGCTCGAACTACAGTGATGAGACGCAGAAGCAAACGGAGGAGGATGTTCAGAAACCTGCTCGCTACAGGCATGTCCCTCAGGTGGCAGCGCAACAGTTTGCTCGCACTACAACAGTCGAGCCCCTCACTCAGAAAGCTTCACCCAAAGGAATGAGGCCTGCTCCCGGCCCCCACTCTATGAACAATGGCACCATATCGCTGCAAGAGTATAATAGCCAGTATAGAAGAGCACAGAGTCTCTGCAGCGGAAGACCAACTAGCGCCAGCAACGTTGCGAGGACGGGAGGCACTGAGCTGGATAAAGTGTCAACGCAACGCAAGAGACAAACAGCCCGTAATTCCATGCTCTGGAATGTCAATGGACCTGAGTTGTCACGAAGAATGAGCACGGGTAACATGCAGCCTCTGCCTCAACCCGGGCGTGATTTAATAGGTACGAGTGTCGGAGGCTTTCAAGGGAATGCCGCATCATCTGCGAGACGGGGATCCGCAAGTTCGTCAGGTTTCTCCGATGCATCACCCTTTGTACGCGAGTCTGGCCCAGCAACCCCTTTCAAGCAAGAGTTTGGTATCAACACTTCGCCTAACCGTCGAGGGTCTGAGACTAGCGCAGCCACTTCTGGTTCGCGGAGAGGTAGTTTTGTGAACATCCCCAACCCGCAGCACGCGGCTGAGATACACAGGGTGGACTGGTCTCAGAGTGACCAACCAGTCAAGGTCCGACGAGATTCGAAGTGGGGAGGCCTCAAACATCGAAAGACTAGTTTGAGCCAGCAGAAGCCCAACGCTGAGGACCAGGGCTCCCATTTTACCAAGACGAGCTCACAGTCATCTATTTCTCCAAAATCGCCCAAGTCTGGGTTCTTGAAGCGATTCATGCATTAGCGAGGGAAAGAATGCGAATGACAGGGGGGATTTGGCGAGCGGATGATATACAGACAACTCACCAATGATTATTGTAACATAATGACCAAATATTAAACATGAAGGAGAATATTGATACATGATCTCCGCAATCAAAAAAAGTATCTTCGGTGTCACGTGAGATGTGATTGGAACCGAAGAGGAAATCTAACGCTTTTCTTGCGCCATCAAGCGTTCGATAAGTTTTGTATCCTCTTGTGCCATTTTCTGCCGAATGATATTGTCGACGTCCGTCTGTGCACTCTCGGTGTTCATCAAGTGAAGGATAAGTTCTGAATACTCGCGTATAGCGTCGCCCTGCTCACCGTCCGCGCGACGAGCCTTGCGCAGAGCCTCTTTTCCGTTCTGAATACCAATGTCATGGTTCCAAGCTTCTTGCTTTGGTGGCAGGCCCTTGAGGAGGGAGGCGGGGATGGCAGGCTTGGTCTCAGGAGGTGGAAGCGTGGCAGCATCTATTTTGAGGAGCTGGTCGGGAAGGCCTGGATATTTGCGAAAGAGAAGGCGAAGTTTCTCTGAGCTTTCAAGAGCCTGAAAGGGATTCGAGGGGTCGGGGAGCTGATGCAGTGATGTTGCTTGCGACTCGGAGAGTGCCGACTGAGGCGCTGTTGGTGTTGGTGCTGGTGCTGGTGCTGGCTCAGGTTCAGGAGGGTGATTTTCGCGATGGATCTTGTTGCAAGCAACAGAACAACTTTGGTGATGGTCAGCCACTGACTGCGGTAACAACTGAGTTGTGAAGCTTACTATGGAAGGCGACATCTTGGACATTTGTATTTTGGGGGATTCACTTCACATACACCACATAGTGAAGGATCTGGTTTTGTTGTCGCATCATCGCCATCTTTTGCTTCAGCTTGTGTAGTTGGCGTAGTAGTATCTTCTGGGTGTTGGGCTGGTAGATCGTTTATTCCCTGAGTTGGTTCTGACATTGTGATATCCTATGCGACCGAGTAGGTATGAACGTAAGGTACCGTAATTAAGGTGAAAGGAAGCTAATTTGATGGAACCTAAGGTAAGGTAAAGGTACTGTACGGTGTACGAAAGTGAGAAAAGGTACAAAAAGTTTCAGTTCCAAGGGGTCTATCGCCCCGCGTCATTACCCGCTTGACATTTTGGACCCCAGCAATTGCAAGCCGAAGGAAAAAGAAAGAAAACAAAAAATCGACGTAGAATGTTGGTCCGTGCGCATTCATCGGGACTTTAAATTTGCCCTTGCATCATAGGTAGCTCACGCATTACTAATGCTCGGACCTATCACGGCTAGGTGAGTGAGTTTAAGCAAGCAAGCACAAGTTGGAGCGGCGAAAAGTTGCTATAGCATACCCGTCAACGCCGAAACTAGCCTGTCTTCCTTTCCAATTTATTTCTCAACAAAGCCCGTTTTCTTGGACCTTGACCTCTTATTGGAGTCGAATCGGTAGCATCCTTTCTTCGACATATCTATCTTCAAAGCCTACGTCATGGCAACTTCAAGAGCCATGTCACGGACATTGGCCGCTGTCGCTCGGCCCGTCGCAGAGACATCTTGCCGAGGAATTCAGCGATGGGCTCGTTCAATCAGCACCGTCCGGCCACAACTTCTTGCCGGTCCGTACGCTACACGTCCCCTTGCACAGCGACAGCGCAATATTCCAACAACCATACCAAGCCTCGCCGGTGTCGGTAGCGGGATCCGAACCATCTTCATCCAGACGGAAAACACCCCGAACCCAGATGCCCTCAAGTTCCTACCGAACCATCGAGTTGTGCCTGAGGAGCTGTCTACACCTTTTATCGAGTATCTCAACCCCCGAGCAACCATTTCTCCGCCATATCCTTCTCCACTCGCTGCCAAGCTCATGAATATCGATGGGGTTACATCGGTATTCTACGGCGCCGATTTCATTACTGTTACGAAGGCTGCAGATGCCAATTGGGCACACATTCGACCGGAGATCTTTGCCCTCATCACAGAAGCCATCACTGCAGGTGAGAAGATCGTCACTTTCTCCGAACGCCGGGAGGGTGAGGCCGCTGCGGCTGAGGAGGAGGATAGCCTTGCGTACAACGAAGACGACAGTGAGGTTGTTGGTATGATCAAGGAGCTTCTTGAGACACGAATTCGACCAGCTATCCAGGAGGATGGCGGCGACATAGATTTTCGAGGTTTCGACGACGAGGGTTATGTGCATCTCCGACTGCGGGGTGCCTGTCGTACGTGCGATTCAAGCACTGTCACTCTCAAGAATGGAATTGAGGGCATGTTGATGCATTATGTAGGTTCTCCATTATGGCTTACACCGTACTGTCTTGGGCTAACATAACTTCCAGATTGAGGAGGTAAAAGGTGTCAAGCAAGTGATGGATCAAGAGGAGGAAATTGCTCTGCAGGAGTTCGAAAAGTTTGAGGAAAAGCTCAGGCAACAAAAGGGAGCCGCCAGCTCGGCAGCGTAGAATGGCTAAAACAAGGATTATCCTTATATGTATGATATTTTGGAGGCAATTTGATGATACCCACGGAATCAAGTCCCTCGCCTATCTCACCACTGTAAAGCGCTTGGGGAATGCTTCTAATCACGATTCGACGTTCGGACCAAGACTTCTTGTGATTGATTGGAAATGCGCATGCACGGCATATCGGCCCTGTGGCCTATTTTTGAGAGCGGAGGTGCTTTGCACAGTGTCGGATCTAGCTGAGGGCTAATCCCAACTGAAAATAGAGCATATAACCCAATTGAACAAGCCAGGGATAGTTGCATCACGAGAATGCCGCTGCTACCGTGCTATGCCCATTACTGCAGGAGCTCTCGAGATGGACAACAGGATTTCCAGAACAGATCGGATTAGTCGACGTTTCGCTGTTTGAAGCAAATGGGTTGGTGGAAGAAGAGATCGGAGATCAGCCTAAAGCTGACGCTTTGGGAACATTGTTGCGAGAGAAACGACACCTTCACCATGCCAGCAGTGTTAGGAGGTCGTACTGCCCGCGTGCGCTTTGACGAACACTGGCTGTAGGGAACTGGGTTGTTTCGTATACGATCCATATATCACAAGACAGCCACCTTTTATGTATGTATAGGTAGACTCGCTATTGACAAATCGAACGGGGGTGCCGTGTCTGGATTGGACAGTGAGCATCTGACTTTGACATGTCCGTAGTGTGATGTTTCGAGGAGTCTATAAGTGCACCGGGATGTTCCAAAGGAATATCATCCGTAAGTCGTTGGGGTATTGGCGGGGTTTGAAATTACCGTCAAGGAGTCTCATACGCGGATGTAAATGCAGATGCGGGCGCGTTGATCTCGCTACCTCCTTGCTTGTCTTTGTACGGTCAACAATGCATGAACATCAATTGACAGCAGCCTTCCAGGAAAGACTGGATTGAGAAGTTGGCAGCTGACTTTACGAGATTTCAGATGTTCTTATGACTTTGGATTGTTGAAAAAAGATCCGCAAAGAGCTGTAGGGGACCCCAGCAGCGATACACCATCCCCCACAAACATTGACTACCTATACCTGGTCCACCAAGACTTTGGGTCTTCGGGTCTTTGGGAAACACACGCTAGATGGTACGGATCCGAAGAAAATGCGTCGCGAAATGCTCGAGTACACTGCAATTGGCCCGGTTGGCGCGATCTGGAAGCTCTCGGGCAGGGTTTATTTTCGGCGTAACACTGTCTTGAAAGAGTAACGTTGGGTCAGATAATAAACTACGGGAATTGGATATTGAATTTGGACCCGCCGACAGCTCCAACTGCTGGATTAGCCGTACCAGTTAAGAGCCGCCCTGAGTACCCTTGGCTCCGCCGGGAGAATGTCACAAGTCGATGTCGACGAGATTCTGCGTTCCGGTTGTGGATGGACATGCAGGGCCGGAGAGCCGCCGGCATCATTATCATGATGCAGTACCTAAGTTAACTAATAGCGAAAGAAGGCCCTGCAGTGATATGCCGGGAGCCCTTGAGGATGACCATGTAGGTATCTCTCTCCTCTGGTCTGGCCTCCAAGTACAATCAAGCACAGTACCTACCCATAGGTAGGCATGGGCCGGATATCTATCCAGAAGAAGCTTGTGAAGCGACCGGCAAAAAGCTGGAGAATGAATTCAACCGCGAATTGAACTTAGCTGAAGAGAAGCCACTTTGCACTAGAAGCCCGTTGCAGTGGGATGGCGTCTTGGGATTCTCGGATCCTGTTTCTGTGATTGGCGCGGGAGTCGATATGCAGTGGGTGATACAGCCTCCACCGAGGCAAACCCCACAATCCCCTCATACCTAGTGAGCGACGTGCGAGAGCTGTTGGCGTGTCCGGATCTCGAGGCCCTGCGTTATTGTTTCAACGTGGGGAATCAGTTTTGCCTTGGTACCAGGCAACCAAACATATACCAGGCGATAGTAGAGCGCATGACCCCAAATTTTCTCCGTGGGAGAAATGGGTATGATTTAAAAAGACCCTTTGCGCCTCGCTCTGCGGGTTCGTTCCCTCGACTTGTGTCTTCTTTAAGCCTATCTTGAACTCAAACGTCTCATAGCACCGATATCAGACTCCAGTCGTACGAAGTAAAACACACACATCGCCCACCATGAGCCCTTCAGCAGTCGAAGGAAACGGGGTCTCGGATGTCAAGACGACTCTCAAGCCTAACATTGGCGTTTACACCAACCCCAATCATGACCTCTGGGTAACGGCTGCTGAACCCTCTGCTGAATCCGTCAAGTCCGGCTCCGACTTGAAGCATGGCGAGGTCAGTGTTGCTATCCGCAGCACTGGTATCTGCGGGTAAGTTGCCGTCAATCATGTTCTGACCCCGCCTCAATTAGAACAACCACTGACCGGGGTATAGCTCTGATGTTCACTTCTGGCATGCTGGCTGCATCGGTCCTATGATCGTGGAGGGCGACCACATCTTGGGCCATGAGTCGGCCGGCGAGGTCATCGCCGTGCACCCTTCTGTCAGCAATCTCAAGGTTGGCGACCGGGTCGCTGTCGAGCCAAATATCCCCTGCGGTACCTGCGAGCCCTGCCTTACTGGCCGATACAATGGTTGTGAGAGCGTCCTGTTCCTGTCAACACCACCTGTTCCTGGCATGTTGCGCCGATATATCAACCACCCGGCTGTCTGGTGCCATAAGATTGGAAACATGTCGTTTGAGAACGGCGCTCTCCTCGAGCCCCTCAGTGTTGCCCTTGCTGGCATGCAGAGGGCCCAGGTCGCCCTGGGAGACCCCGTCCTGATTTGCGGTGCTGGACCTATCGGTCTGATCACCCTTCAGTGCTGTGCCGCCGCAGGTGCTTCTCCTATCGTCATCACGGACATTTCAGAGAGCCGGTTGGCATTTGCTAAGGAGCTCTGCCCTCGCGTGATTACACACAAGGTTGAGCGACTGTCAGCTGAGGACTCCGCCAAAGCGATTGTTAAGAGCTTTGGAGGCATTGAGCCCAGTGTTGCTCTGGAGTGTACCGGTGTCGAAAGCAGTATTGCCGCTGCCGTCTGGTCAGTGAAGTTTGGCGGCAAGGTTTTTATCATTGGCGTCGGGAAGAACGAGATCAACATCCCCTTCATGCGCGCAAGTGTACGGGAAGTCGACATTCAGCTACAGTACCGTTATTGCAACACCTGGCCTAGAGCCATCCGCTTGGTTGAGAGCAACGTAGTTGACCTCTCAAAGCTCGTCACTCACAAGTTCAAGCTTGAGGATGCCATCAAGGCGTTTGAGACGTCTGCAGATGCCAAGAGCGGGGCCATCAAGGTCATGATCCAGAGCCTGGATTGAAGACGTGAGTAATGATCAATATAAATTTGGTGCTCGGCGTATTTTTTTGATTCATAGGCGCGGGTCCGTTAGAAGACCGTACAAATAGCCTCTATTTGGGATATAGACATGAGAACATGAAATCTGGTGAAGAACTTTTGGCGATGAACTGGTGAATTGAACATGAATATGAATGC